AGCTTCTTGTTCCAAATAGTAAGGCCAGGAGCCACTAGTAGCTTCTTGTTCCTAGTAGAGATGCCCTTTGTTCCCAGTAGCTACTATTTTTCAACATTCTGCAATTTATTTCTTTGGACCTTTTCACCTTTCTTCCTTTCCGGTTGAATGTGCTTCATCAAGTTGATCTCATGTTTTCAGGTGAAGCGACACTTAACCGGTGAATTTCTCACAAAGTACCGACCCACAGAGGCGGAAAGTTTGACACGAAATTCTTATCGTTTTCTTTGAATGTGATGTAGTTGTTTGTTCTCCGTTGGCTTGGCGCAGGGCTGCGAAATGAAGAAGATCAAAGTGTCGACCAGTATCCAATTCTGCATGAAGCAGTCTAGGAAACTTGCAACCAAAAGCGGCAGAAACATTTCAACAATCTAAGTTTTGTCATGTGAACGCAAATGCTTATATTCCTTTTCAACAACAACTGCAGGCGTTTTGAGTATAGTACAGAACACAGTGCTTAATGGAAGGTCTGTCTTCTGGTTGCCAATCCATCGAGACAGTTGAGATGCTGTACCATACAACTGACATGCACTTCCAAACAACAGATGGATCTGAGATCCATGTCAAATGTTGGATCATGGAATCATCTACTCAATGCGTGCCTCAGGCAGAGGTCAAGTGCTCTTCAATGTTTGGGACACTGCTGGGCAGGACACCGAACGAGAACACGATTGGCTCTTTGATGTTTTGATTGGTCAATACCTTGAGCCAAGGAAGCCTTGACCAGTTTGGTGGCTCGGGTAGTGGTAATAGTGGTAGTAGGTGTAGGTGTAGGTAGTTGGTAGTTGGTCGTTAGTGGTTACTTAATAGTAAGTGGGAAGTGGTTATTGGTTAGTGGTGACTGGTGGTCAGCAGTAGCAGTAGCAGTAGCAGTAGCAGTAGCAGGGGAGGAGGAGTAGTAGTAGTAGTTGTTGTTGTTGTTGCTGCTGCTGCTGCTGTCTTCTTCAAAGCATTTCAGCCAGGAGCATTTGGCGGGTCTACGGGATGGATACTTCATAGGCCCTTTTTGTAGGTTGGAGGGCATTACTAGTAGAAACAGGTTCTCTCAGCCTCTTGTAGCTTCATTCTCGCGGTTGGCTTTGGCATTCTCGTCGCATGTCTCGAGTTTAGAGGTGCAGAGTGTGCCATTGTTTTCTTCGATGTCTGAGCCCAAGAGTTCTGGTTTGTGTTGCAGATTGTTGAAGTTCCAAAAGAAAGGTCTGGTTCTGAAAGGTCTAAATAAAGAGAAAAGAGAAGGTCCGAACAACACATTTTCAGTTCCTGAGAATTGAAGGTCTGCAACCGTGAAAGCCAGAAGAATGTGGCACAATGGGTGGCCGACCTTCGGAAGGTTGCGGGTGAGATCCCCATCGTCGTGGCAGGCAACAAGGTGGATCTGCCAAACCGACAGGTGAAAGCGCAGGAGGGCTCCGTGATGATGCGGAAGCTCAAGGCCCGACGAGACGATCAAGAAGGACCAAGCAACGGGAAGGATGTGCAAAAGAACGGCTTTTTTTTAAGCCTGCCATTATTCAATTTAATCAGTAGTCGCCTATGGAATCAAGTAGGGGAGTAAGCTCCTAGCTAGCTACTGGACGCTACTACAGACTGGACGCAGGAGAAGCGCTCGCACCACTGATTTGGCTCCTAGATTTTAGGGAAACTAATCAATTGGGCTTGGACATTCATGACAGGTCCAATATTACGATTTAAGTGTGTCCCTAGGCAAAATGTATGGCCAACTTGTAGGTTTAGAGTTGAGCGAGAGCATTGTGTGAAACGTGTTTCTATGCAGTAGCGTCTTTGCTCCTAGTAGCGATGCCCTTTGCTCCTAGTAGCGTTCTTGCTCCTAGTAGTAAGGCCAGGAGCCCCTAGTAGCGCTGCCCTGCACCAAGGAAAAACCGGTTACATTTGGAGATGCCTTTCCTGTGGCTTTCGCGGCGCCTGCTCAACGATCCCGAGCTGAGGCATGCGATCAGAAGTTCACAAAAAAGCATCCGATCGCTCCGTTCGTAGCGATGCCAGGAGCCCCTAGTAGCTCTTCTTCCTAGTAGTAAGGCCAGGAGCCCCTAGTAGCTTCTTCTTGCTAGTAGTAAGGCCAGGAGCCCCTAGTATTTTCTTGTTACAGGATATGGAAAAAGAAGGTAAGGTCCTTCCCTTCCTTTCATTTTTTTTCCTCTAAGTTTTCCCAGAGCATGTCACCATGTCCGACTCATTTTTGTCTAACATGGATCCCATAAACTCTTGTCCTGTTCAGGCTCACTGCCGAAGAGGCCCTCCTGCCCAAAACGCCCAGCGCACCCAGCAGCACGGAGCGGAGGCTTTCTGCTGTGAAACGACAGTAATGCAAGTACATGTTAAATTTATTTTTGTCAAACTTTAAGTATTATGTGTATGTATATATACTGTATATATTTTTTCCAGAAGTTTTGTTTGTCTTGATTTTGTTCAATTCAATTTCCAGTTCAAGGTTCATTTTAAGATCAATTGGCACTTCCAGCATTCCAAGTGCAAGGTGTACAGTATCAAATACCAAAAGCCTTGTAACATTTTGTTTTGGATGGGCTCATTGGAAAAGAGGTCTTGGGGAGGGTAGTAAGGCCTTCTCGTTTGGTTATTAATGGTGGAAGGCAACTTTTTTCTTTACAGTTGTCATCGATTCTCCAAAGTCGATTTGTAGGCAGGCAGAGCTAGATCTGGCCAGAGCCTGCAATGTGCCTGTGGATGATGATGAAGACTTCTGAGCAGAGCTGGGTGATAGACCCGTCAAGCCACCCGTTCGGAGAAGTTTCCCTGGTATCTTGACGACCTTTTCTGCCCAAATCGAATTCAGAAAGAGATGCCTCACTCCCTTCGCTCGGCTATGAGCCATGCAGTGTGCCCCGCCACCGTACAGTACCTGCGGAGGCATTGACTTTGGCACGCCACAGGATTAAAGTCCTTAGGGCCAAAGAAATGTCAACAATTATTCGCGCCACTGTTGCTGAAAAAGGTCGCCAAGACTCACAAGGCACCAGTTGAGGCTTCTTCGCCTTTCTTCTGTTTGATAAGCCAGAAGATGGAGAGTTTCGCTAAACTGCATGATGGATTTAGCAGATGCTTGCAGGAGGATGCCCAGGACAGCAGCTTCGCGACATTGCTCGGTCATGGAACTTCATGCTGCAAACCCTTTTCTTGCATTTCTTACATTGTTGGTTTTTGAGAACGGGATCGCGCGGAATACTTCTTGGAACTGTTTGTGGGTAGTCGGACTCCTTTGTTCTTTCTTGTCAACTTGTCAGCAACAACTCAAAAGTAGTACCGCTTGTTTAGTTAGGTTTGAGGCTTGAGGAGCCTGATGCTTGCCATGACCATAGGGCGCTCCGTCTTGAGCTTGTAATCCCATAACACAGAACAGAGTTCTTGCTGCAAAGGACAGTGAAGGTACTTGACAAATCCAAATCAAAACCTGACTTGAGTGTAGCATTCTACTCCTCAAGCAGCCACAACTATGAGCGAGCAGGAAATCAGGGCTGGCATGCACAATATCGTTTCGAAAGAACAATAGGTTCATGTGGTACCACCCACCAATTCTTTTTGTCTTGTGACCGTGTATTCTAACACAAAAGCATTGCTATTCGATCATGTCGCTGGCTGTGACGGCCTTCCCAGCAACGGCCCCTTGTCCCAGCTGCCCAAGTCAAGGCCGGAGGTGTGAATTACACCCAGCCTGATAAGAGCAAACAGCTTGTATGACTCAAAGCCTTGAAAACGTTGCCTTCATTCTTTTTGCTCATGTATTTGTGCATTCCTTTTTGTGGAAGTAGCGACTTTCAAGACCCACGGTTAGCACAGCGAGGCGTTTGAGACTTTAAAGTGGAAACGAAACAAGGCAAACTTTAAAGAAACAATGGGAGGCCAAGTGGAATTCTTGGTAGCCTGAATGGCCAGGTCCACGGGTGCGTACTGCGAGATGTGGTAGTCGGGAAGGCACATTTTTCATCTCTATTTTCGCTGTTTTTTCTTTCTACTTTATGTTCAACAAGGACAAAGGTTGAACTGTGCCATATGTACAGATTGGATTAGATGTGACATCACTACCTCTAGCTCCGAAGAAGAACACTTTCCATTGGTTTCCCATAACACTTTCCTGTGCAGGTTTCGTCGTTGCTTCTTTCAGCGGGACGCTGATTGCGAGGTATGTGAGCGGTGCGAGGCTTGATGGATGTGTGATCGTGTAAGTTGTCACATGTTGATCGCTGTGCAAATTAAGAAGTAGACTTCTGAGAAGCTCATCACATGTCAACATGTCCTTTCAACCTTTTGCTTTTGAGCCTCAGCTGTAAGTGTGTTTAGCGATGAGCGGGGTTGCATGCCCCTCTTTGTCAGTCGGCATTGTCGACAGAAGCCTCGTGTCAAGGCTGGGGTGTTTGGGTGTTTCTCAGCATGTCTCAGGATCGTCTTCAAGTGTTTCATTTGTGCAACCGATGGTTTCCAACACTCGGAGGCCTTGCAGCAAGCAACACTTGATGTGGAGGCCGGCTCATATGACAAAGCTTCAAAGCTTTTGCTAAAAGGCCGCCAGCACAGCGTCGCTGACATTTGTAGCACAGATAGTGATCCTTACTTTATCTCCCATGACCCTTTATGCTTTCTGCAGGTGAAGCAGCGCCGGCTGCTGGCTGAGGCGGGTCTATTAAGATGTCAGATGCCTTGGAACAGTGCGAGCACACAAAGCAAGGTCACATGTAACAGAAAACACATGTCTCACATGCATTGTTTGCTCAATACGTCTACCCTACTGAATGCTCCGCCAAGATGTCCTTCTTCCCAAGACGTTTTTCTGAAACCAGGTGGAGGTCCTCTCAGTGTCGCTGCACCCTTTGAAGCCTCGAGACCTGGTGGTGTTGGAGGTGGGACAAAAAGAGACTTCAGAACACTCAACATACCTGAAGTATAAATATATTAGTATATATGTAAAAATATATAAGTATATGTATATGATGTATTTCGCGGTATTCCAGGTAGGCCCAATGTGTGGGATTTCCAAGTGTCACTTCCGTCTTTCCAGGTCACTGATCCAGACTTTCCAGACGGGCCTCCTCTGCCGGTGGTCTCCGAACCGCTGTGGCAAACAGGTGATAAAGCCCTCCTCATGCAGGCCTGCAGGGCTTCTGGTCTTCACGGCGTGCAGGCCATTTCTGTGCTCATTCCCCAAACAGTGTGGACACACTTAGGGGTTCTTACGGTAGTCAAAGGAAGTTTAGAGGAACTTCCGTGTTAGGAACATTTACATCACTCATCATACACCACTCATCATACACCACTCATCATAACACCACTCATCATACACCACTCATCATACACCACTCATCATACATCACTCATCATACACCACTCATCATACACCACTCATCATGCACCGCTCATCATACACCACTCGTCATACACCATTCATCATACACCACTCATCATACACCGCTCATCATGCACCACTCATCATACACCACTCATCACCCAGTTAGCTCTAGTATCAAAAGCTCTAGCTCCAGTTAGCTCTAGCTCCAGTTAGCATCATGTGCAGATTTCGTGGCAGAGGCAGCACTTTGTGAAACTCCATGTGTAGATTGCGTGGCAGGCAAAGCACTTTGTGAACCTCCATGTGCAGAGTTCGTGGCAGGCACAGCGCTTTGTGAACCTCCATGTGCAGATTTCGTGGCAGGCGCAGCACTTTGTGAACCTCGAGGTGCAGATTTCGTGGCAGGCACAGCACTTTGTGAACCTCCATGTGCAGATTTCGTGGCAGGCACAGCATCTGCGGAGCTGGAAGATGAGAACTGGCGACTTTCTAGTACAACTTTAGTGCGCGGAGCAATCTGTGGAGCTGGAAGCTGAGAACTGGCGACTTTGTAGTACAACTTTAGTACGCGGAGCAATCCGGGGAGCTGGAAGCTGAGAACTGGCGACTTTGTAGTACAACTTTAGTACGCGGAGTATCTGTGGAGATGGAAGCTGATAACTGGCGACTTTCTAGTACAACTTTAGTGCGCGGAGTTTCTGGACAGCTGGAAACTGGCGACTTTGTGGTACAACTTTAGTACGCGGAGTATCTGGGGAGCTGGAAGATGAGAACTGGCGACTTTGTAGTACAACTTTAGTACGCGGAGCATCTGGGGAGCTGGAAGATGAGAACTGGCGACTTTGTAGTACAACTTTAGTACGCGGAGCAATCTGTGGAGCTGGAGGCTGAGAACTGGCGACTTTGTAGTACAACTTTAGTACGCGGAGTATCTGGGGAGCTGGAAGCTGAGAACTGGCGACTTTGTAGTGCAACTTTAGTACGCGGAGTATCTGGGGAGCTGGAAGCTGAGAACTGGCGACTTTGGAGTGCAACTTTAGTACGCGGAGTATCTGGGGAGCTGGAAGATGAGAACTGGCGACTTTGTAGTGCAACTTTAGTACGCGGAGTTTCTGTCGAGCTGGAAGATGAGAACTGGCGACTTTCCAGTACAACTTTAGTACGCGGAGCAATCTGTGGAGCTGGAAGCTGAGAACTGGCGACTTTGTAATACAACTCTAGTACGCGGAGCAAGCCGTGGAGCTGGAAGCTGAAAACTGGCGACTTTGTAGTACAACTTTAGTACGCGGCTGAGTCATCTCTATTCGGTATTTTGCAAAATGCGAGACAGTTGACGGTGGTTGCTTCGCTTTCGCTCCATTGGTCGGTTCCAACTTGTTTTGTCAAAGAACATCGCAGCTCGGCGAATCAGCCTGCCACATGCCCATTTCCTATAGGCTTATTCTTTTGGAAACTTCCGCCGCCGGCTTGCCCGGGAACTGCTTGTAGTAAAGCAGCTGATGCTTAGATCGCTGAAGCGCGCGGCCGTGACTGGCCAATTCGCTGCTATTTACAGTACATTCATGCCGCTCGAAACGAAAAGTCACTTTGGACCACCAGAACACGAGGTTTCCCTTGCACCTGCCACGAAAAGTGACCACCATGAGCGAACATGCGCACGGCACCACAACGAGAGCGCAGTCGTTAGAAGCACCCACCGTGGACACCCAGATTCAGCGAGCTTGCGCAGTCGAAGTGCGTGACAGGTGCAAGGGATCGGAGCGGTTTTACTTCGAAGTGCAGATTTCGTGGCAGGTGCCGCACTTTGGACATGGTGGTGATCTTCGAGGCGCTCTGATTCCGTGACAGGTGTCGTTGCAAGCGCAGCGCTTTGTGAACCTTGATGTGTAGATTTCGTGGCAGGCGCAGCGCTTTGTGAACCTCGAAGTGCAGATTTCGTGGCAGGCGCAGCGCTTTGTGAACCTCGAAGCGCAGATTTCGTGGCAGACATAGCACTTTGTGAACCTCGATGTGCAGATTTCGTGGCATGTGCAGCGCATTGTGAACCTCTACGTGCAGATTTCGTGACAGGCACAGCACCTTGTGAACCTGGATGTGCAGATTTCGTGGCAGGCGCAGCACTTTGTGAGCCTCGACGTGCAGTGACAGGCGCAGCACTTTGTGCTCTCAGATGCTCACTCTCTCACTCTCACTTTCACCCTCACTCTCACTCACACGCGCTCTCACTCACACTTGCGCTCACATTAACTTTCACTCTCACGCTCACTCTCACTCACACTCACACTCACACTCACTTACTCACCACCACCGCCACTGTCACCACGATCCCCACCTTCATCACCACCATCACCTCTCTGCACCCCAACGCGTCTAGATCTCTAGACTTTCTGTTTTTGGACCTGTGTGTGGCGTCTCTTGCCGGGATAATGGTTTAATTCAATATTTTTACTTTTATTTCCTCTTTGCCATCCCTTTGTCTGTGGTTCCTAATTGCCCCCTCAGCCTTGCCACACCGTACCGGATCCAGGTGGGCTGCCGAGTGCCCCAGAATGTGGCCCGCTTCCAGGGCCTCTTCCGAGAGCTGGCCGGCGCAGCTGCTCGGTGAGAAGAGAAAAGCAGACTAAGGGCTGGGCAGTGGGTAGCAAGCTCCAAGAAGCTTCAAGAAATGAGAAAGTGACGTCCCAGGGTGATTTCCATGGGGCACCAATAGGTTGGAGGCCAGGAGGCCATCGCTCTTAGGTTGGAGGCCATCGCTCTTAGGTTGGAGGCCATCACTACTAGGTTGGAGGCCAGGAGGCCATCGCGTTATTGGGTTGGAGGGAATCGCTATTGTGTTGGAGGCCATCGCTATTGGGTGGGAGGGAATCGTTATTGGATTGATCATTTGGGAAATTGGGTTACACACGGTATTGGTGTCTCGGCTCACTTTGGGTGTCTTGCTTCTCAGGCCTTGGCCCGAAAGGAGGGTGCCATGGAGGGTCCCTTGAAGTTGGCCGGCGTCGACTCGATGGGGTCAGAAACCCGATTCGTTATCATGGTGCTTTCTGAAGACACAAGCTCGCTTTCCAGAGAATGCTCACTGCTCACCGCTTCAATTTCGTTCTTGACACTGGAGTCTCCAGGTTGCTGCTTCCCTACTCGGCGGAGGGCCTGCAGCGCCAGAAAGACTTGGAGCGCCTGGAGGTGCTAAGCATGAAAGAGAACTCTACAGATGGCATATCCCGGGCCATGCTGGAAAGAGAGATACTATGTCATGATGTCCGTACATACTGGCGCTAGCGGTTACAAGCTGGCAAAAAATCCAAGTTGCCTGCTTTTCAGGTCTTTCAGTCGCGAGTGGCGCTGCAGGTTTGGTCGTGTGACGGTAATACGGAAAGCTGAAGTAAAGAATGCACAGTGAATGCTAGAGATTCATGAGAGAGGTAGACCATGGGTAGTTCTGTTTCACATCAGCATCCAGTCCATGGTCAGAAGTCAGAAGAGGCTGTGGCTGTGATGAGGTTTCATTGAATAGACGAAGACGTTTTGATTTGTTTTGTGGAATCCAATGAGACATGTTTATTGTCTTCAAGTGTTTATCACGTCTTGCATTGTCGCAGCTCGCCTACAGTGGGGACGGCTTCCGGGGATCACTTGGGAGCGATGACTCGGTGGAGGTGGGGAACGCTCGGCTTTGGGCACCCTGTGCCGTTTTTATAAAGGCCTCAGTGAATGGACGTTCAAAATTCAAGGTCTTCACGGCTCACAGATTTGCAGCAGTTTTTTGCATCAGCCCAGGCTGCGGTCCGCAGTGCGCTATTGCAGGTGGCCTGGGGCGGCGCGCAGCGGCGGGCATCGAATGAGGAGGAACATTTTGCACACAAAGTGATTCAAAGTGAGTAGTAAGAATGCTCCTAGTAGCGATGCCAGGAGCCCCTAGCAATAGTAGCTTCTTGCTGCTAGTAGCGATGCCAGGAGCCTGTAGTAGCTTGCTCCTAGTAGCGATCTAGCAGCTTCTTGCTGCTAGTAGCGATGCCAGGAGCCCCTAGTAGCGTCCTTGCTCCTAGTAGCGATGCCAGGAGCCCCTAGTA